CACTGTTGATTATTGTTTAGGCGTCCTTTCTGTTTTTTTATTGCTGAAAAATAACAGATTGTAATTTCTCTGTATGGTTCTTGTTGTCAGGTTTTCAGTGGTCTAACATTAAATAATTGAAAGGAAATTTTTCTGACATTTGTTAAAATATAGCATACGAGGTTAAATAGGTTTAGGTTGTTTATATCATGTTAACGTTCATTTGACACTTTTTTGTAATGCTTAAGACATGTTTTGGTGACATGTATACTGTGTAATATCTCTGGGTGTTGTAGTTCTTTCATAATAGCATCCCTCCTTTTCTCTCCTCTTCCTTTTCTTCCTGCTCATTATATTGATATCTTCAAGCATTTCAGCTTCAGAGACAGTGTTGTAAACATGCAGCACTCATTTATCAAATTATCTGATGCAACACAAACACGCTCAACACTCTGATCTGAACACCTGTCGGTTGGATCGAAAGCAGAGAAAAATCCCGATCGCAGCTGTCGCACAGTTTGTGTGTGTGTGTGTGTGTGTGTGCAGCCACAAGTTAACACACATGTCTGCTCGCACGCTCACATGTGCCTAAGCATCATTGTTAGTGTCAAGAAAAGTCAGGACAGGTCATGGCATGTGTGCATGTATGATCTGTCACGATGATTAACGTCTTACAAGATAAAGCCCTGTTGTTGTAAGGAACACACACGCACATACATAGATACATACATGTGCAAGGATCATTAAGACACAGCTTTAAACTCACTGGTTTGAAAAAGGGAATAATAAATAAATGTGTCCAGACCGTGAATTCTGTATTATCAAGTGTGCAGTTTCAGTGGATGGATCAATTCACAAGATAAGCACGTGCTCCATCTTCGACAAATGTTCCACTTTAGTTTATGATGATGACTCAGTGGTGCATCTTGTGCTGATGTTCAGATTTACAGTGAAACTTTCATTTTGCTGCCTTCAGTGTTTCCCTCTGGTTTTAATTTGCTCAATGAATGGTGCATCTTCCATTAATGCAGTGTTGTCATTAAAGGTTGCTCTTAACTTGGCTCTGAAACTCAGACTAATCGCTGTTTGTAGCATAAATCTGGCAACGTTGATGTAAAGCACTGTGCACCCTGTCGCCATTTGTGTATTTACTCTCAGAATTCATGGTTTGACATGTCGAGGGAGTACCCTGCTTCTCGCCAAATGCCAGGCCCCCGCAACCCTCGAGGGCTAAGCAGTAGAGATAATGAATGGATGGATCTATATCCATGATTTTACACGATATACTTCACAACTACCTTTCCAGTACAATACATTATTCCCTTTTACTACCATTAACTATATTTGTGCCAGAAAATACACATATTGTACGCTACAAGGGCCCCAGATTTGTTTACAGACGAGGGCGACATGTTAGGTGCGATAAGGTCCGGCCGAGAGGAGGTGTGAAAAGAGAGATTGAGCGGGTGGATATGGAGAGGTGCTAGAGACGTGAAGTGGTGAGCTTGTGCGTAGGCGGACAAATGGAGAGAAAGAGACAGAGGGCGACGACGGTTTAACTTATGCACGTAGAGGGAGACGGAGAGGAGATAGGAGGATGAGCAGCAGGTGAAAGAGGCTGACAGAGGAGTGGGTGTAGATGGAGAAGGAAAGAGACAAGAGAATAAGAATGGAACAGGAAAAAGGAGAGGGGGCATTTTAAGCATCATCAATGTCTCCTCATTGATTTTGCAAACTGATGATTATAATAACTTTAATAATAATAACTTTATTTAAAGAGCACTGTTTAACATAAAGTACAAGGTCCTGCACAACAAGAAAACAAAGGGTTAAAATACAGAAGGAAGTAAATAAATAATTATATGAAAATAATAGAGATAAAAGAACAGTAATAACCTGGCACCTCAAGTAAATTAAGGAAAATGCCTAATCCAGACCTAGATTAACATTGTATCTCCTTCTTTCCGATCTCCTTATTGCCTTGTTTTCTCAAGCAAAATTATTCCAGAGCCTTGGAGCCCTGATAGCAAACGCTCTGTCTCCCCCCCACCCCCCGAGTTAAGATTATAGATTAAGTGAGAGCAGACCATTGCCCAAAGATGTGCAGAGGTATATGGATATGGAATTAAAAGCTGAGATATAGATATTTCAGAGCTTTATATATATATGTATATATACTATATATATATAGTCTGGGGCCTGACCATCACTAGCCTTAAAAGTGATCAATAAAATCTTTAAATAAATCCTCCAACAAACAGTGAGCTCATATTGCTTAGCTCGAGTGAAAAGCCGAGCTGCTGAATTTTGCACAGACTGCAATCGTTAGATAGCTGTTTTCTGATTAAGACCAGAGTAAAGGCTGTTGCCGTAATGGAGGCATGAGGTAATAAAAGCATTTTTGATCGTTTCTGCATCTCTTGTTGCGTGATTATCAAAATGATGATTAGATCCAAAGAAATAAATCTTGTTTTCCAACATCAGAAGAGCATAGATGAAAATTGGACCATGATGCCCGACATTAATTTCTACTTACTATTTTGAGTTAAACAGTTGATCCCTGACCACATTGTTTAAATTACAGTTTAAGTAATAGTTTGTGATATGAGTGAAGTGTGATTTCTGACCGAAGAGAAGAAAAGAAAGAAAGAAAGGAGGATGGAGGAGAGAGACTGAGGCAGAAGAGGGAGACAGGAGAGTTGGTAGCAGGGATGGGTGGTGCAGGAGAAAGGCGAGCCGAGTATCTAAGTGACAGGTTGTTGTCACTGTAGTGAGACCCTGGAAGATGGATGACAACAGGGTCAACAACTCCCCCTAACACTAACTGTACTTGTGTGTGTGTGTGTGTGTGTGCGTGTGCCGGTTGTGTGAAGATGGGGTCAGCAATTTGTTCGTCCAAGGCTGACTAACCCTGAGTGTGTCTGTGTGTGTGTGTGTCAGCATTTGGAAAGTGTGCGTGAGTACATGGTCAGCAACATCAAGTTTGTGTATTTGTCTCTATGTTGTGTTAGTGTGTGTGTGTGTCCACCTACTGTCCACTGGTGTGTGTCTGTTGCTGTTCCTTTCATTTGACCCAACACAAACTGCCCTTCCACCAAGTTTTCAGTCTCATGTCACTCGCGTCGTATTATCTCTGCTTCCTCGTGGTGGAAACACATCGCTGCCTCTTCTCGGCTCAGCTCACGTTTATTGACAAACTGGCATCGCAGCATTTACAGCTGGCTGCACACACACACACGCAGAAGTCTGTAATGACTAGTGTCATTATTCACCCACGAAACACTTGATTCAAGGCCATTATTTCCACTAGGGAATGGTGGGAGCACTGAAAAAATCTGTTTAAATTGTATTGTTGTTGCTGTTTGTGTTCATATGAGAGCATGTTAAAAGAGGTAAAAGAGGCACTTATCGTGCACTGGGGATTTTGTAGCCCTGAGCTCAGCTTCGTAGGCCAGATATTGAATCTGTTTCTTCATCTGGACTGACAGCAAGAGACGACCCCACTATACCACACTACATTATTGATACTACTCTTAATCCTGCATAAACCAACTTTTTGGCAAAGTGAACACAACTATATTGTGAGGGAAATCTTCCCAAGAGAAGGAATGAAGTTTTTCTGGGGTTCTCAATTTATATACTGGATGCATTAAGTCATCAGCCTGGTCTGGCTGATGAGCTGTACAGAAAGTTCACTATCTGAGTTAATATCTGAGCTGTCCTTGCAAAAGGAGTATTATAATCTCACCAAGTGGCCACGTACCATTAGTCTTCATGTGGAGCTACTCTATTAGACAATTATAAAACCCACCATGTCTAGATTACTGCGACAATGTTCCCTTTTTACATCACAAGTTTAAGACAATTTTACAGTTTAAGAAACAAAACGAAATTTTTACACCACGTGATTGTCTGGAAAAAAGACAAAAACAATTATAAAGGTTATAAGTCCACTTTAAGAATGTGCGTCTTCGGCCTGCTCTGTGGTCCAGTTAAAAAAACAAGGTATTCTCTGTTCTCCCGTCTGGACTAAAACAGGATGGATTGATTTTATTCCATCTCCTGAGCAGCTTGGACCTGCTACATCTCCTTCAGCTTCATTACAGACTTTATTATCTTAACTTTATTACAGATGCTGGTTATACATGTATCACCAGTTCTCAGACTTGCTATGATGTAATGACCTTCAATTATTGCCTTTTATTACTTTTTCATTCCCTCTGATCGCTTTTTAATCCACCACGAAGCACTTTGCAATAATGTTTCATTGAAATCCACTAAAAATGAAGAATAGGGCTCTGCTGACAGGGCCACCGAGTCTAGGATTGTTTTTCCTCCTTGTAATTGGAGGAACATGAGCTTATTTAAAATTAACAGAAGGCAAGGAGGCTGGAAATTGGCGCATTTGCTGCAGCTCTCTCAGTTAGTGGCAGGGGCTCTAACTACAAGATAAAAGAAAAAAAGAATTAAAATTAAACCTTTTTAATGATACTTGATTTCATTTTTCATTGTAGGAGGTTTTCTGTGCCTGATGGGTTTGAAGGATTAGAGATATTGGTGACCGGCACTTCACAGCTATGTCTCAAAAAACAATTTCTGATTTCTTTAATAATGACCCCAAAGGCAAACAGCAAAGATCTTTAGAGAACAGAACTAACGTCGCTGCTCTTGGAGCCAGCTACCATTAGGGGGGTCATGGTAGGCATATCTCCACTGGCATTAATTCCTCGTATACCTGTGTAGCATCGATGTGTCTTCTGATGAGGAATAAACCTGCATTCTGTGTGTGAACTGTTATACAGGAAATACAGGATGTCTGCTGTGGTGTGAAATGCTCTAAAACTGATGTCAAATGTGGCATTAATATGAATACAAAAATCATGCCTGTTACAGAGCATTTAATATTACTGATAATATGTCTCTATATAGCTGTGCCATCCCCAGAAGGTGTTTTTGTAATAATACATTTAATTAAATGTGGTATGATTGAAGTGTTGACTTTGCTCTTCTCTCATCTCCAGGACTTGGACGTAACCCCACACCGAGCCGACCCAGTAGAAACCAGTAGAATCCAGTGAGGGCCCGGCTGCATCAGCAGAAATGGCTGCGGCCGCCATGTCTGCTCCTCCATCCTCTCCCGCCACCCGCCTCTCCTCATCCCTCCTCTTCTTCTCCCTGTCTTTCCTCCTGCTCCTGTCATGTCCCACATCTGTCCATGCGAGTTCAGCAGAGAAAAACTGCTCAGCCAGTGGAGACGCCTGTCAGGAAGGTGGGTTTGGTCTTATCTGTGAGCAGTTTAATGCACAAAGGAGGGATTAACACAATTACATAGGATAGATTTCTGTGCTTAACCCTTTCAGCTAGTGTAGCTTTGGCTAAGTAGGAGAATGGGTTAAAAGCTGTGTACCAGCTATGTAATGGATATCAGCAACGTTCATGAGAACAAAACATAATGATGTCTGAAGTCTGTTAAGTTCACCTTTAGTATTGATATTAATTAAAAACACAACATACAGAATAATCTCAGAGGAAACAATGCATCAGTACCATCTTCCCTTCTTGAATGAACAAACTGTATTATTCAATAATCTCCATTACGCCTTCTCTAATAAACAATGATTAAACATGACATTCATGATCTAATGTAATATTTATGCTACAATGTATGCAGTAGATGTATTAAATCATATTGCTGGACCGCATTACTGAATTAAAAATTAGTCACTGATAGTACCCTGCAGATTTATTAGCCTCCACCCTCTAGGTTGTACTATCCACGATTACATATACAACAGAAAGAGAAAAATAAATTGGACTGTTTATGATATAAACAGTCCAATTTGTTATGTTTCTTTATTAAACATAAAGAACCCTTAACAGGATGAGTGGTAGATAATGGATAGATGGAGGGATGGATGGATATCATACAGAACCATGCTTTGGATTTACTCCACAGCTTAACTCGACTATGCTGTAAATTTATCATGTGGTACCAGTGTACCAGTTTATATTTTGCCAGATTAATCTGTGCAACCTGTCCACAAGCTGTGGAAACAACAGGACACAGATTTATTTGCCAACTGCCAGGTGCTAAAGCATTATAAAACACAATACAGAGCTCAGAGAGGGGGGATTAGTGAGATTATTACATAAAATTGTCGCAACCAAATCATGTTTTTGTTACAAAACTCTTGTTTGATTATCCCTTTCAGGAGTGGTGCTGCCCGTGTGGAACCCTCAGAACCCCTCTGTAGGGGACAAAGTGGCCCGGGCCATTGTTTATTTCGTAGCGCTCATCTACATGTTCCTCGGCATGAGCATTATAGCCGACCGATTCATGTCGTCTATAGAGGTAGGCAAAACATGCTTAGTATTTAACTGTTCCATTGTAGGTTTCTCCCATAGACTGAATACATGGATGGAGGACGTGACAGTCCCCCTTTAAGAAAATCAAAGGTCATATATTGGGTTTTAAATACAATTTTCTCGAATATGGTTTCTTTCATTTTAGGTAGTTCTTATAACACTGATGTTTGCTCAAGTGATAATTTTTCCGCTAAGTTTGGTTTTAATTAGTTATTTGATGAAATAAAAAACAGGATGAAACATCATGATTGACAACTGAGACTCACGATTGGTCAAGCGTGTGTATCTGCAAGACTGCGCAGTCTCTGACTCCATATGATGTCAATAGCGCAAGATGGTGCCGCCTGTGTCTGTGATGTTTTGGCTTCATTTTTTAAACAACAAGAGAAACTGGAGATGTACAGTACAGTCTCTGGGTTCTACATGATATCACATCACTCATATAACTTATAATCATACGTTAGGATGTCCATTGTATTTCTGATACAATAAATGTTATTTATTATGACACATGTCTTTTCCTTTTTTTCTTTCCTTTTCCATGTATTCCTCTCCTCTCTCTCTCTGCAGGTCATAACCTCTCAAGAGAAGGAAATCACCATTAAGAGGCCAAACGGTGAGACGACCACGACCACTGTCAGGATCTGGAATGAGACCGTTTCTAATCTCACTCTAATGGCCTTGGGTTCTAGCGCCCCGGAGATCCTGCTGTCTGTTATTGAGGTTGGTGCAATATGACCCGGGTGGTTACACATTAGATTAACAGATACAGAATGTAATGAGAATTCGCTAATCTGATTTTTTACGGCACCTGCAGGTGTGCGGCCACGATTTCGAGGCCGGTTCCCTGGGTCCCAGTACCATCGTGGGCAGTGCTGCCTTTAACATGTTCATCATCATCGCCCTGTGTGTGCATGTGGTTCCCGACGGAGAGACACGCAAAATCAAACACCTTCGGGTGTTTTTCGTCACGGCAGCTTGGAGTATCTTTGCCTATATCTGGCTCTACTTAATCCTGAGTGTCTTCTCGCCTGGGGAGGTGGAGGTGAGGATAGAAAGAGGAAAAGCTTTTTGGAAAATAAGAAAGTTGTGTTGCAGGGAAGGTAAGGAAGTAAAGAGAGGATGGAAAAAAGGTGTGAACCCTATCTCTTCTCTCCTCTAGGTATGGGAGGCGGTGCTGACCTTCCTCTACTTCCCACTCTGCGTGGTCCAGGCCTGGGTGGCTGACCGACGTCTCCTCATCTACAAGTATGTCCGCAAGCGCTACCGTGCCGACAAGAACCGCGGCATCATCATCGAGACGGAGGGCGGGGCAGACGTAGGGATCAGGGGCATGGACGGAGGAGGAGGAGGAGCGCTGGGTCCAGGTGGGTTCACCAAGATGGACATGCTGGAGCTGGACGGACAGATGGCGCTGAACTGTCACGGTGGGATGGACGGAGGGATGACAGAGGAAGGAGGAGCAAAGGACGAGGAGGACGAGGCCAGGAGGGACATGGCGAGGACGCTGAAGGAGCTGAAGCAGAGGCACCCGGATAAAGACATGGAGCAGCTAATTGAGATGGCTAATTATCAGGTTAGGTGGCTACATATACACACCAACACATGCTAGCCTTTTGGATTTAGGGAAATATAAAAGACGTTAAGGTAAATATGCTTATGCACTTTTTTTTGTTGAAAAGATTTACACCACTCTCATGTTTGTGTGGAGCTAAAGCTGGTTGTTGGAGGTGATTGATTATGTTTCTAATACACAATGGATGAATATCTCAGGATGAAAAGGAGGTGCATACACGTAGAAGACGGCAAATACAGACTTCTCCTGCAGCAGTGACTGTGTCTCACCAGGACAATCTCCTGCTCCTCTCCTACATGAGCAGTTCATGTCTGAAAATGGCTTCACTATCACAAATCAGTTGATTTTATTTTGAAGAGCGCTAGACAAGCTGTTTCAAACTATTCCCTTCACAAACAAATGGGCAGTAGGAGTTCATGAGACCAAAAACTGAATAGGACATTCGAGAGAGCTACAGCAGCACAGTGTGAAAATGAGTATCAGAGGAGCTGCCTGTTTGGAGTGTCAGCTTATAAAGGATGTGTGGACTTGTGCACTTACAGCTGATTCGCTGTAAATTAAGAAAATGAGCCACCTGAACACAACTCTTCATTTCACTCAACTCACTGTCTCCACTTCTGTTGACTTCACTCTTAAAGTTTTGTTTCGCAGAGTTTCCGAGCTTCTCGAGTTCTATATTTACATAATGAATTAGTCGCAGCCACAACGTCATGCATCACTTTTCATATCTGACTCCTCTGAGGGTAACAACAATGAGGTGTTAACAAGGTGACAGTTGTTGAAGGTGACAGTAGAGCTGCTATACAGAGAACATTCAAATGTTACCGTGCAACTTTCGAGCTGTTAACAAATGAGTTGTATTCCACTGGCTAATCTTTGCATGACTGCATCAGTAAATAGAATTAATCTCACTATTTATGTCTGCCACTGCAAGTGGAGAAATTGAATTGGCTGAGTAAGTCCCTAATGATCTAAACAAACTCACAGAGGAGTTGTTTTTGTGGATATTCCTCATACTCCACTTCTTCATCATGAACCATAAGCAGGACACAGTACTACACTAACAATCTACTAACATGCTGATGTGAACTGTTACTTATAAATAATATAATATAGCTATAGCTTGAGAAGAAAAAAATCACTTGAGGTTAACAAGTTTGCCTTTCGTCTTAGTTTTCATCTGCATTTCACAAAATGTATGACGGCAGTGAAGGCTTTAAAATGAGATGCAGTTAAAAGCTTTGCAAAAAGCTACAGGAAGTGGACCTCAAGTTACGTGTTGATTTGTTAATGATATCCACAAGTGACGAAACCTTGCTTTGTTCTAAATGTAATTTTGGTTACATTTGGCATTAGCTTATTTAGGGTTTAATGGTCTGTTTCACAGTGATTAATCGTCTCTTGGTTATTTGGCTCTAATCTGAATAAAATCTGTTGAAAAGAAAGTAACTACTATTATATAGTTGTCGTACCATGTTGCAACTTTTACTACAGTTACTTTAAATTTGGAGAAGTGTGTATTCTACTCATTTATCCTCTCCATGAGTCATTGCTGGGTCTTCAGTTTTTGTTAGAGAAGAAAAGAAGGAAAGAAGGGAGGAAAAAGAGCGCAATTCAGAGCTTCCTCCCTATTCTAGCTCCTCCCTTGAGCTTTAAATAAGAATGACAGCCGCCCTACAGATTAAACCTGACAAGGTAAATTGAGGTTCTTGTGGTCATGGTGAATGCTGAGTAAAAATTTAAGTAGTGGGTTTTTTTTCCCCACTGAGGGGTCAGGGGGAATTGGACTTAGATAGAGCAGCTTGGTCAGCAAAAAAACAGATCAAGTTTTAATTCCACTAGTAATTATCGATTCCTTCCATCTAAAGAGATGCAGATTTGAAGGTTTCCAGCTCACTTCCTTTTAATTTAAATAGATCATAGTGTTCCCCAGCTCCGATGCCAGATGTAATCTAATGATCTCCAAAGCTAGAGTGGCCAATTTCTTCATTTTCAATTTGGCGGATCATTAGGATATCAAATGGCTAGTCACCCATACTTTTTTATTGAAATCATTAAGTATAGATTGATAAGGCTCATTAGATTTCAAGTTTGCCAGAGGAATACAGTCCAGTGTGTGTTTCGCAGTGTAGTCTGAGAGAAAGTGGATTTCTACAAGTTCCAATTATTCTTTTTCAGCTTGATTCCACTCATGTACTCATTTATTTTCTATGTCTTGGCAGCGTATTGCTAAGAAACCAAAGCGTTAAACCTTTTCAAGCTCAAACACCACAAGATAAATACACATGGCTCATCTCCAAGTGCAGCAACTGGGCTCAACCCTTTTGAAGTTTGCTTAATTAACTCAGTGAATCTGTAGGTGACCTTGGACCTCAAACCTCCCTGCGGAGGCATGAGCAGAATTTCCCCCGAGAGATTCACTGCTTAACCTTTCAATTGCCTCTGACAGTTTGAAAGTCAGGGAAAACAAATTAAGTCATAAATTAAAACGATAGGAACAATAAATCACTTTGTTGATAAATTTGTTTTGGTGTGTGTTTTGTTGATCAGGTCCTGATGCAGCAGCAGAAGAGCAGGGCGTTCTATCGTATCCAGGCAACCAGGATGATGATTGGAGCCGGCAACATCCTCAAGAAGCACGCCGCCGACCAGGCTCGCAAGGTGAGACACACACAAACACACAAACACACAAACGCACGCAATATCTTCAGTCGTTTTCGATAAAAGCCTGTAATGTAAATATTCCTCCATTCTACATTTAACTGAAAATTCACGAGACCACACTGAATCTGTTTATCACTCCCTCCAGGAAATACACGTCACTGTAGTTCTTCTGTCACTGATGGATTTATTTGTCTTAGCTTCCTTCCACATCACCCTGTTGAACTGTTCAAATATATGACACTGTACATAATAAGCAAACACTTGTATCAGACCTTTAATGCAGACCACTGTTCTGAAAAATAAATCATATGAATGATATGGTAACAAAAAATATCAAAGAAAAAAGACATTGAATGCAGTTACACTGATACTGTGTTGTTTTTCCAGGTGGTGAGCAGCCATGAGACCCAAGCCCAAGAGGACGACCCTCACACCATCAGGTTGGATTTCGAACCCTCGTTGTACCAGTGCTTCGAAAACTGTGGCTCCCTGAAACTGACCGTAGGCAGACACGGAGGTGACCCCGGAGTTACCGTCAAGGTGCGTGTGGAATGAATGAATGACAGTGTACGTATTAGGGAGATATGCAATGGGGCGCTATTCTTTTGCACTTTTATTCTGATCATACTTAATCAAAACATCTTCTCGCCTTGACACTCTGGTGTGATGCTTGTAAAGGGATAAAAGTGGGTGAGAGGTGAATAGAGGAGAACTGGGAGAAAAAACCTTAGAGAGTTTTGGATTCCAGCTTTTCTCTTGGTTTATCTCAAACAACACATCTTTCTGCAGAGCCTCATTGATCAGGATTTTAACAGCAGGCTGATACACTGAATAACATATTTTCCTTTAAGCCTCCCATGGACTGTGTCAGTGGAATGATAGCTGATCTGCTCACTATTACTACAGGGGATTTGCTATCTCCTGTATTCCTCCCCTTGCATTCAAATGAAACTATGCTGCAACATCAGTGTTGTCTGTGGAGTTGCGCTGATGGCGTGGCCTGAATGTGGTGCCCTCTGAAGGCTGTAGCTGCCAAGTCAAGTGGCCTGTTTAGCCCTGGCACAGGCTCCTCAGGCGTGGTGTCAGAGCAGCGCTTTAAAGAGGAAGAAATGCTCCCAGCAGAATTACTCAACAAGGCAACATGAACTCAGTGGCCAACTTCTTGAACTGGGAAACATTTCCAACAATCTACCCACAATCACAGAATTGTTTTAATGCCCTCAAATGAAGGTCAAAGAAATAAACATAGTAATTTATCCTCTGTTAAAGTGAAATTCTAAAGAAGTAGTCCTACTAATTTAAACTTGTTTTTGGTAACTTGTAGTAATGGAAACAAGCTGTTAATACAACTCTGATAATAGTCATCTCTTAAGGGAAAGTTGCTGTACAGTATATATGCACATCCAGCAGACGCTCAGCAGCCCTAGCTTTAATTTGGATTCACCTGATGAATCTGCAATATTGTCTCTCCTTTAAACTTTGTTTTGCACTCCATGAACTCCTAAGGGAAAGATCTGTAGCTGCTAAATGTGCCTCTCCGTTAACTAACTAGTTTCTAATTCTGTTGCCTGCTGCAGGGCAGGCAGTGCACTGTGGGGTTTTGGAGATATGTCACTGAAAACAGTTCTTACAACACTTTTGAAAGCATTTTTTTATAGTTTAAGTCATGTGCATTCATACATAGTATAGTAATTAGTAATTAGAGCAGATTATCCCAGAACAGAACAGCTCGGTCTATCATTTAAACACACAGTCATTGGTGGATTGATCTGGACTGATTAAATTCAAATATATGTATCCATATCCACATCACTTTTAATGGAACAGTTTTTTTATTATAATCTTTTTACTTTTTAAATCATATGAAAATGTAACTTCGATATGTAATTTAAAATCACTCGACAATCCTTGTGATATATTTTAAATTCAATGGAGCCACGGTATACAGTAATACAGTAAAGATATCAGCCAGCTTAATGGATGTATTCAAAATAAGTTTATAGGAGCTTTGTCCTTTATGCACATTTCATGAAGGGCTAAAAATCGAGTGGAGGCATGACGATGAGCACAATAGCAGCAATAACATTGAACGCAGATTCAGCTCTTTCTACAAACAGATTTTCTTTTCAAATGTTAAAAGAAAGAGGACAGAATGTGATGGCCCTTTTCTGACTAGAGGTAAAGTAGATATGTTTGTAAGGCTCTGCATGCGGTGGAGGAGGGTAAACAACCAAGCAGATGGCGAGAGGACAGACAGGAGGAAGAGGATACAGGGAAAGTTTTGTTGTACTATCTTCAAAGTCATTATTATCAGACTGTATCTGACCACAGGGCTCGGTTTAATGAAGCTGTTTTTCTTGCTCTCTCTCTCACCCTCTGTTCCCATCTTCCCAAAATGCCTCTCCTCTATCTTTTTTCTCCTCTTTCCTTTGTGCTTATCTGGTCTTTTTAACACCTTTTAACTTTTCTGTTTCATCTTTGACGGCTCGTTTTTTCTTCCCATCTTTCTGCGTCGCTATCTCCCTCAGGTGGATTATCGCACAGAGGACGGTACAGCAAACGCAGGTTCAGATTATGAGTTCGCAGAGGGAACGCTGATGTTTAAGCCTGGGGAGACCCTCAAAGGTAAAAACAACACTGACAGCAACGAGTCATGGCATATTTTCAAAAAACATGTCACTGAGCCTGAAGCTCAAGTAGCAGTGGACAACTGCATATCTTTTACTGCTGGTCTTAACAAAAATATGATTTTAGGATGTATTGTTGAAATCAAATAACTAAACATTTATCTTACCAGAGATCACAGTCGGAGTGATTGATGACGACATCTTTGAGGAGGATGAGTATTTCTACGTCCACCTCAGTAATCCTCGATTGGTTGGTTATCCGGAGATCGGCACCGTCCCTCTGGACAACAGTGTCACCCCTAAAGCTGTGCTGGGAAACAACCACACCGCCACAGTGACCATCTACGATGACGATCACGCAGGTAAGAATCATGTTAGAGGCAATTCCTCTAACTTAAATGGAATCATGACACAAACTTGAAATTGCTCGGCTGAGTAAATAATATAATATAAAAAATAATATTCAATGCCATTTTAAACTTAGTATTTGCTTAAACTATAACTTTAATAACTTTCATTTGTAAAGTTGCCCTCATTACTTTATATTCATATTTTATATTTATATTGGCAAAACACAAAATTGTCAACAGAAGGTTGATGAAGTGATATTACATTTTTTAATAATTTAATAACATTACTATGGGGGGTATATAATGGATAAATAATTTGGCTTTCTTTGTGTTACTTCAGCTTTGTGTCATATCCTCTTGGTTGTATCACTTTGCTACAGAATGTACTCCCAGGACATCCACAAAAGGTATCACAGGAATGTTTAAAGAGTTCCAGCTCGCAATCCACTTTTTCATTTACAGGACTTTAATAACATCCAAAGAGAATGGAAGTGCGGGGAGGATGAGTGGGTGTTCACTTAATGCTTTTTATCTTTTATCTAGAGAGAGTGGGTGGTAATCTATTAGCCTCTCACTATATATACCATACACCTTGGAGTGCAAGCTGGTGATAGCAGCCTCATCTTCCAAATCTCTCCTGTGCTTTTCCCCAGGGAAGTAATGCATTCTCTCTCTTTCCTTCTTTCCCAGGTATCTTTACCTTTGAGAGCGCCAGTCAGAGGGTGAGCGAGAGTGTAGGTGTGATGGAGGTGAAGGTGCTCAGGACTTCAGGGGCCCGGGGCCTCGTAGCCGTCACCTATCGGACGCTGGATGGCACCGCCAAAGGAGGGGAGGACTACGAACTATCATCTGGCAAGCTGGAGTTTCAGAACGACGAGACGATGTGAGTACAGAGATGTTGTCAGTAGCTGTAGATATAAATCCAGAACGTGTTTGATTAAACTAAAGAAAGTTTTTTTTTGCATGATATCCCTAGTTGCTCTATAATGCACGTCTACACGGTACAAAACTCAATTCACCTTCAATTTAAAAATATGTTTTTTGTAATACTGAAAAACGTTTTTTTTTATTACAAATGATACAATCCCCTTTCTCTGTGCTACCTGTCTGATTCCCACCCGTTCAACAAACACCTTGTAGGTTGACAGAGCGTTTTAACATGAATTCACAGAGTAAATAGCTCAATTATGTAGAGAACAGTGTAATATTGCCACTCTACAAGATAGGCTACTCTGCATTCTCCTTCTTGCAAGCGCGTGTGCGTACACTTGCACACACTCACACACACGAAGGTGCTTTTGCATCCTTAGGCGCATGCATTTTTAATATGCTGATGTTAGCGGTGTTAAATTGACCAATACATAAAGTGGTCGGGAACGCAGTTTTACTCAATGCCTCCTGGGGCCCGTAAAGCAAGTGTTCTGTGTGCATGTGTGAGAGTGTGTGTGGAATTGTACATCTCTGTGCATGGGAATCAATTAAGAGTTTCAGAAGGTAAAAGTGAGGGTGTTCATGCAAAGTGAGGACATTTCACACTTCCTCGAGGGGCTGTTTGATTCACAAGGTTAAAGTCAGTGTTAGGACATGTGAACACTGTTCAGTGTTTTATTCTTATGACATGACGATGGTCGGCACATTTATGCAATGTGTGTGTTATTGTGTATACATTATGTGCTTGCGGGTTTAGGGGAAGCAAATGTTGGCAAGGCTGTTCAAAAAGTTTGTTTCTGGCTCGCCCTCGGAGAAAGACTAAGAAGATGGAGTGTGTGTATAATCTTATACTGCAGTTCTTGTAAGAACCATTTTTTAGTTTTATGTGTTGATTGCAAGATTGTATGAGTGTGGCATTAGGTTTAAGATAGATAGATAAATAGATAGACAGAGAGAAAGACAGATGGATAGATAAATAGAGAGATATAATACAATAGTTTACGATTCAATAGTAACAAAAATACAAAATACACACTCTATGTTCAAGAGCTGGGATTAGGTATATACTCTAGTTATGAACTTTGAACATTCTTTATGTCATTTAGGGTCCTCACAAGTAAAGCAGCATACCAGTGTGTGTCTGTGCCGTACAAAAACTCAGATAATGGCATCATTGACAAGAAGTTCTTCATCTGATACCAGCCAGCCTCTAGGTAGAAGTGTCATTACAAGGGCAGTGTGTGTGTGTGTGTGTGTGTGTG